CGTCCGCCCACCGCCGCGATGGAGAGACAGTGAGACGGCATTTTAGAGAAGCTGCGGGAGGGGGCCAGGAGCGCGCTTGGGGCGAGAGAAAGAGTTAGAAGCCGCGGCCGGTTACTCACGTGCCAGATGGCGAAGAAGATGAGCGCGGCGCACAGCACCAGCGAGAGCATGTAGCAGAAAGCAGCGAAAGTGAAGGCCATGGCCGGCGGCCGGGCGCCCGCACCCCACTCCCGCCGCGCACACAGATGCCCCTAGAAGGCCACTGTCCCCCTCAAGGGCCGCGCTCCCTCCAGAGGGGGACAGGAAGCGCCACGCCGCACCCTCCCCTCGTGGCGGGTGGCTGGGAGGCGGCGCGCCACGCGCACAGACTCGAGGGTCGGTGGAGAGGAACAGGGTTCCCCAGGCCCCGGCGACCCGGGAGGCCGGGGCGCCCGCACAGCAAGGGGAGGGTGAGTCGAGCGTCGTTGGCGGGAACCGTCTCCAAATTGAGGCGATCAGATCAGTAGAGAACTCCTGCAGATTGCTGCCAGCCAGCGAACGCCTCCGGACGAGCACCGCGAGGGGTGCGAGGGCTGCGCCGAAGGCGGAGCGGGAGGCTCGCCGCTCCCGGAGTCCCAGGGAAGAGCCCAGTGCTTTGCGCTCCTGCACCTAAGAGGCGAGGCGAGCGCGCCGCTCAGGACCCTCCGGCGCCTCCGAGGCGCAATCCGACAGCGTCCAGCGAGGTGCCCGCGCGCACTCCGACCTCCTGCCAAATCCTGGAGCCGGCAGCGGCCCTTTCCCGAAACAGCAGCTCTTCAGGTAGCCGGGAAGAACCAGGTCCCCCCGGACCTGAGCTCCGAACGCGGCTTCCAGGGCTGCTGTGCGCCCCTAGGCGCGCCGGACCCCAGCTGCGGCCCTGGCCCGCCGGCCTCGATCGCCCAAGTTCCCCGAAACTCGGGATCGGACCCGGTGGGGCAAGGGCTCCAGCCCCGCCGGGCTTCTGCGCCCAAGCGGCGGGTGTCAAGGCCGAGAGCCGCTCGCCGCGGAGCTCATTCCACCTGCTGCT